CACACACACACACACACACACACACACACACACACACACACACACACCATACATAGTAAGAATGAATGAATGAAAACAAACAAACAAACAAAAAAACAGCTGTGGGCTTAGATAACTTCTCTCAGGCTTTTAGTTTGCCTTGACCTTGTGATATTTTGCCTCAGCCTGGAACTTTATTAATCTGACAAGATCTAGAAAATCCAAGTGCTTACATCATACCTAACAATGTAAGCACAGTAAGAATGCCTGCTGTCACTACTCTATCCAACTTTGAACAAGGACCTACTGCAATAAAGTAAGAAAAAGGAAAAGATAGTGGCTTGCAGAGGGAAAAGAAAAAGATATTTATAAATAACGAAAATATATTCATAGAAAATTCAAAGAGACAGCCCCAACAAACTGTTAGAATTAACAAGTTCATTGGAAACAAGGCCCATATCTGAAAATTATTTTTTTAAACTAACATCAAGAAGAAAACATAACTTAAAACTGAGCACTGAGTACCCGGGTACATGCCTGTAATCCCAGCATTCCAGCAGTGGAGGCAGGAGAAACAGGAATTCAAGACCAGTCTCAGCTACATGAGATCCTGGCTCAAACAATCAAAACAAAACAAAGAAATTTATTCAGCATAACATTAAAATATCAAGCAAGTAGGCTATGGAATAAGTTTATATATAAAAAAAAAAACCCTACAAAACAGAAGAAAATACATAATAGCTAAGTAGAAAAAGGGATAGTGTGCTTAAAGATGAAACAATTACATTAAAAGGTTCATTTTCCTCAAACTGAACATATTCCCAGTCAAATTTCCAACTCTCCTTTTGTGTGTGGAGCGGGTGGAGGGGTGGGGAAGCATGCAAATCGGTAAGTTATTTCTGAAATGCAAAGACCAAGAAGAGCCATACTATTACTGAAAAATGAAGGAATGAATAAGGTAAAAAACTGAAACTGAAACAAAGTTTATGTGAAGACTATTAATTTGGACAGCATGGTAGTGACAAGGCCCACATAAAACAACAATTGTTGTTGAAACAAATGTTAGACTCTCTATCCCAGCTAGCTCCCAAATAATTGAGACAGAGACCTTTTAGATTTAAATAAGCTTTAAAGCACCATAACTGGGCAGATATAAACCCTCTAACCTATTTTGTTATTTCTCAGATACCCCAATGCTGCTTGTCATATGTTCTGTTTGGAAGCTTCTGTTCCATCAGGCCAGCCCTCAATGGCCACGTGCTTATGGCCATTCTGTCCCATGGTGACTTGCTTCTCTTCTGGCTTCCTCTCTCCCTCCTCCCGCCTCTGTGGTCCCTCTGAGAACCCAGGCCAGGGAACCTAGAACCTGCCTACTCCTCTTCTGCCCCTATACTCTGCTAGCTTCTTTATTTAACAAGCCAGAGGAGATTAGCCAGCAAAATCACACAGAGTCACGCACACAATGCCATTTGGTGTATGTTGTCTGGGCAGCAACTAGATCTTAGGAGCCAGTGATTTGCATTAGAATACATAGCACCAGACCAACCCCTGACAATGAGTTCAGAAATAGCCTCCATCCAGTCAGCTTGTTATCATACAGATGAAATAGTCATTAAGTTAGCGTTTGCTATAAATGGTGCAAAGCCAATGGGATTTCCGCACTAAAAGAACAAAACAATAACAGTTACGGCCCTTCCTCACGTCATACTCAAAATTCTAGGTAGACTGAGGATCTAGATGGGAGAGGGTTGCTGGTGACAGGGGTGAGAAGGCAAAGCTACTACTGGACCAGGCTGGAGCCCTGACTGCAATCCCTGGGACCCATGTCAAGATCAAAGGAGAGAACTCGCTCCACGTAGTTGTCCTCTGGCCTCCACACAGACACCAAGGCACAAGCAAGTGCCTTTCCATCCCCATGATGCACATAATAATAAAAAAATAATTTTCAAAAATGAAAAAATGCAAGAGGGAAGATAGTATAATTTTCGTAAGAAACACCACAACAACCTTGTAAACAGTAAAGATCAATAAAGGATCACAGAAAGTATTAATCAGAACACTGGGAGGGAACACACACACACACTCACATGTACATGCACACACACACACACTAGGCTTTACAAAGAACTGTTCATCTAAATATCCCAAGGAGATGAAAAAAGAAAATACGCACGCCAGAGAGAAAATACTTGTTCTACACAGAGTAAAAAATAAATAAATACAACTCAAAGGACACATATGAACAAATGTTTAGCTTCATTTGTCATCAGAAAATTAAAAATAAAAACTTGAACTTTACACCACAACACATTGAGGATATAGGACAGGAAGGACAGGAATGCTCACACACTGCTGCTAGGACCATACTCCAGAAGCTATTTGGTAGTCTCTCCTAAAGCCAACACGGCTCCAATAATTCTGCTCCTGAGTAGGTAGGTACTAGTATGTACCAAACAGAATGTGGATTCATTCACCAAGCAGGAGATATCTATGGATCTATATGTGGCAGCCTTATTTGTAACAAATCAAAACTGGAAAAACAACAGAACAGCAGAATGACGATGCAGTGGAAAACCACAGAGCAATGAGGATGACTTACAGCTACAATATACATGACTCTACAAACATAATGCTGAGCAAAAGTCAGATTTGTTAAAAGTATTTTTCAATCATTAGCATTTTCTTTTGTCTTTAGGGTCTTCTGGGTATGTTCATATAATGCTGTTCACTTGTAAAAAACCTGCCCTTAATATATATATAATATTTCAAACAAAATCTCATTAAAGGATATACTGGAATTTAATTAAACCAAGTTTTAAACACTTACCTTGCAAATGGAAGATGCACAGACTTGCATTGCTTACTGATCCTTTTCCTCTTGCTAGCTGACAGAAGAAAAGAACTTTGATGGAACTATTTTTGAATAAACAAAGAAAATGGTAAGTGATAATCTATCATATCACACTTGTCATTGAAATAGCAAATTATATGAGGACACCAGAAGAAACTGAACAAAACAGTTCTTGCCCTGTGTATGTGTTGCTAGGGATTACCTTGGGACCCTCTGCACACCAGCTAACTATTTTACCACAGAACTACCCAGCCTTTCCGTTAGCCTTTAATAGTTGAATAAATATAGTATGTAAGATTAAAACAGCTCATCCCTCATCCCATTTTCCAATGATAATCACTCCTGATATATCACTCCTTATAAACTTTCTATAAATTGAAATACAAAGATATACAAATATATATGTATACATGTATGTATATATGTTTACACACACACAAGATAGTTATAACAATATATAATGTGTTCATGTCTTCTACACATGTGTTATGTAGCATAGAAACACACATTTGGGAATTACCAGTACATGTTAGTAATTAAAACAAAGACTGGTAAAACTACCTAGCAAGAATGAGTATAGATAGAAAAGAGAAATTTAAGAACTGAGTCTTGGGCACTCTGAAAACTTAGCAGTTGGGAAGGAAATCAGAAAACGGGCTGAAAGAACAGGCAGGAAGGTGGAAAGATTTTTGAGTCTGTAGTATCCTGAAAGTCCTAAGATCAGCTTCAGGACCCACAGCTGCCCCTGGGATCTTGTAACTCTTGGCAGCACCGGTGACTTTCTGAAAAGCCAGAGTGATACTGATGTCTAGAAGTGTGGTTCAAGAGAGACTGTGGGAACAAGTCGCTCAAAAGTACAACTGAGACAGCAGCTGAGAAGTAGAATGTGGTTTTCGTTGGTGTTTTTAAGATGAGTTAAAATAAGCTTTTGCAGACTGAGGCAAAATAGTCCAGAAGAGGAAAAAAGTAATGATTTATGAGAGAGTACTCACCACTAACATCACAGCAACATAAAAACAACCCCTGCAGCTAACGATAGACGATGGATCAATGAGTAAGGTGGACCAAGTCCCGAGAGAATGTGTATTACTGACACGAGGGACAACGGCTCAGCCCAGGTGAGGCCTTCCTTGGGCCAGGCTCAGAAGAACGTCAAAACTTTCCCCTGACTCAAGGGTGAATGTTGATGAACAGCTGGCTATTAGCTAAAGCCAGTGTGTGCAGAGTACCAACTGCCTGGGATGACTGCAGTCTGAGTCTGCTTCCCTACAGAGACTGCTACCCAGATTCGCTAACCTCCCTCTCCCTCATGCTGTTCATAATAAACATCCTGAGCTGGTGGTTGCTGGTGGTTGATCTTCACCAGTGTGCATGGCCCATCTGATCCCAGCTTCTCTGTTTGTGTGTCCGTTTCTTTATTCCCAGTTGTTTTAGTTAGGTCAGTCCCTAAGCCATTGCAGCATAAAGGTACTTATCAAAAAGTGCAACCCTTGGAATCCACGTTAAGGTAGAAGGAGAGAATCAACTCACAGGTTTTTTTGACCTCCACATGTACAACAAAATTTAAAAGAAAAATAAAAGGATTTATTTTGGGTTTGCAAAATGATTCTGCAGGTACTTTTTACACATAGGTCTGATGACCTGAGTTCAATCACAGACCCTCCCACAAGATGGCGAGAGAACCAACCAACGCCTGAGAATTGACCCCTAATCTCCCGTCACAGCAGGTACATACCCACCCCAACCTACTAAATAACAAAGAAAATTTCTAAAAGAATGACGCAAAAGACAGAAGTAGGCCTGAGACTTCATCCTCGCTTCAGGAACAACTCCAGGGAGAAGGAACTGTGAGAGAAGATTCAGAGCTTGTCTGCTGGATGACAAATCCAAGACTGTGGACAGCAAAAGTCCAAGCTACACCTTCATCCTCTTACTTCTGTCCCTACCCACTCTCCACTCTCACTGTTTACTCCAGAAGCTCATTTCAGTGCCTTTGAGGTCTCCAAAGGGAAACAAAGCCCTCTGGGGAGAGCACTTTGACATAACATTTTTTTAAAGGGCCAACGGCAAGGCTTTGTACCTCGAAATTCACAATAAGCCTAACAAGTGCTCCTGGGGCTAGTCTCCAGAGTTACTACATATTTTGACATCCTCTCTCCCATTGCTCACCAAATTGTTTCTTTCACTTCTCCAAGTCACCTCCTACACCAGTTCTCATGTATATCTGCCATTTATTTTATGTTGTTATTTTAAATTACCTAGAGTTGATCTTAGAGACTGGTGTATAATAGTCTTTCACTTACCTTAGAAAGACTGCTCATTTCAATTGCAGTTATCAAATTATCATTCACAACTGATTCTATTTCTATAAGCTTCTTATTCTGTGTATATAAAATAGAAACATCTTTTAATTAAGATTTGGAGTTTGCTATAATGATAACATACATTTGTGGATAACATCAGTGGGACCCAAATTTTAAAGGTTTTTTTATTTTATTCTTACTTTTTGAGATAAGGTATCACATCATAACCCAGGATAGTCTAAAACTATTTACACAGTGGAGACTGGCTTTGAATTCATGGCAAGCCTCCTGCCTCAGCTTCCGAACTACTGGGATTAGACATGAAATCATGCCTGCTGATTGTTTTTCAACTGAGATTATATTAAGCTCAAAAGCTACTGTAATGAAGAGTCAAAATATCTATGCACACACAAATATATATGTTTATGACATCAGTTATAAATTTTCTTATATTTTCCTATTTTCTCATAATCATATATCACATAGAAAATAAACAAAGTTGGTCAGAAATATGAATTTAATCATCAAAGTATTACAGGACATTTTTCCATTTTAAACTAATTTTTACTCATTTTAGACCTGAAACTACAGTTACGACTTGGATAAACGCTAGCTTTCATTGCCCTGTCTGTAGTTGGAGGCTGGAAAGAAAAAAGGACTACCTCTATTCTATTTGGCTTGCAGCCAATGAAATACATGATTAAAGGAAAACAGAAATATTGTGGGAACTTCTTCAATTCTTACAGTAACTATGCTCACCATTTAAAAATGTATAAAAATGCTAAGTTTGGCAATCAAATGTTAATCATGGTATTATGCTTTTTTGTAGAGCAAACAGCATGCTTTTAGGATAAGACTTAAGATGTCTTTTCTAGAGCTGCTTAGATGGCTCAAAGATTAAGAGCACTGTCTGCTATTCCAAAGGTCCTGAGTTTAATCCCCAGCATCCACATGGTGGCTCACAACCATCTACAGTGGGATCTGGTGCCCTCTTCTGGTGTACAGGCAGAACACTGTATAAATAATAAATACATACTAAAAAATAAAAAAAAGATGTCTTTTCTATTACCAAGAGTTGTCTATCCTTTAGCATAGGCACTTCCATGACATACTGTCTTTCAATAATTCTCTTCAACAACTGGAATTTTGAAAACATTTTTAGAGTTTCTTTAGTAATGTAACTAATGTAGAGTCCAAAACAAATTAATTTCCATACCAAGTTATTTAGCTTTAGGCGAAGAAAGGTATTCTCAAAATTCAGTTTCTCTACTTCTTTCTGTAATAGCATCTTTTCAGTAGTAATTCGTCGAGAATTCTCTTTCTCTCTACTTAGAGCCTGAGCTAATGCTCTGTTGTTGTGCTTTAGAGAGATCTTGAAAATAGAAGAATTGTCTGCAAAGATATTTTTAAAAAGTTAACACTGAACTTATATCATATTTAATAAAATCTCACATTCCTTAGTAAAATTATTTCAGAAAAATAGTTAAGCTTATAGATATGAAATGAATGTTGGAAAAGAATGGCAATACAAGTATACTTTTAGAGAAAACAAAAAGTACCTAGAGTTTGAAGCTGAAGAAATAACAGCAAGAGAAGATGAAAAGCTGAGAGGCACACAGACAGAACTCTCACAAGGTGAACTGGAATGCTGTCACCTTCCCACCTTCACTGGAAGCAGGGTAGGCAGCTGACCTGGCAGCTCTCAGTCTCTTGGAGACTCACAGGAGCAAGGGCAGCCAATCTGAAATGTTTGTGGAGGTTTCTGTGGCTCCACAACTCAATAAAATTGTCTATGCTCCCAAATACCACTTCTTAAACCTCAAATAAAAAAACTGATCATCCAGGACCTGTGGGATCTTCACCTCTACCCAAAAGATTATACCTTTTTAAGTAATCAACTGCGGTCTAAACTTGATCGCTTTTATTGAAAAGAACTATGTCAACACGTCTTAAATCAATACTGAAATAGTAGCAAAGAAATTTCAGTGAGAATGTAATGATTAAATTCACCTTAAAAGTATTATGTTTCTTTAGTATGATTAAATCTTAATTATAGTTTCATAATTTGGTTTAGATTCTACTACATGCCAATAACCTACCTACTCCAGTTTTATGTGTGTGTGCGTGTGTGCGTGTGTGTGTGTGTGTGTGCCTGTGTGTGCGTGTGTGTGTGTGTGTGTCTGTGTGTCTGAGACAGGATCTGGCTAATGTACTCCTTCTGCCTTGATCTCTTGAGTGACAAAATTATAGGCATGTGCTAACACATCTCACTAAAATAAGTTTTGTTAAGTATAACCTTTTTAGGTATTCAGAGAAAAATGAAAAAAAAAAAACTTTTTTTTTAAATCCCTAACAGGAGTTTATCTTTGGCACAAAGTGGTTTCTCTTGGCTTTCCATGGCATACTCAATAGAAACAGAATAGATCACAACCAGTTAGGATTTCCAAAAGCTAAAAAACAAAACAAAACAACATTTTCCTGCTGTTTTTCAAAGGTCTTCACAAATGAACAGGAAATGGTCACTGTGGGAGGATGGCTAATCCACAAGACTAACCTATAGATCCTGGGAGGAGCTGTCATAATTTAAAGATGCTTCTAGGTGTCTTGGCTTTGTCCTAAGTAATAGGTGTGACATCAGCAGAAATGTCACCATGGAAAACATTCCGTAATGTAGCCAATGAGTACAACACTGAGATAATTTGTGGGAGCAGTAAGTTTACCCTGGGCTTCCCACCTCTGTGGGCTTTGAGGATTTGTTTATTTGTTTGTATGTTTGCCTTCCTAACATCTTATTGCTAAGATTCATAAAACCTCATTTCCAAACTACCTAGTGCTTTCTTGGTAGGCTCTGGCCGATATGAAACCATGTACTACCGTACCTGATCATGACCAAGCGCTTCTACATTATTCATCACCTGACCACCTCAGAATGCAGATCAACTCTCTCACTCTATTTGGCTCTTTTCTAAAGAAGCCATATTGCTATTGTATTTGCATGCTTAGCTGAGGACAGGCCAGGGAGCTTAGCTGAGGACAGGCCAGCCGCAATGCTTACAATTCTGCTATCACCAAGGGTAAAGTAGCAAAACCACTCAGGAGAGCTGAAAGCCATAGAATAAATCAAACAGAAAAAGTACCAGCCAACAAAGAAGTCATTTTAGTAGTTTTCTGTATTTGTTAAAATAAAACAGTTCTTCAGAAAGGTAAAAGGTGAGTAAAGTTTCAATTGAATGGTACTTACTTAATATTTTTGTTTTGATTTTTGAAGCAAGAGAAACATTCAACTTTGTCTTTGAAATTCTGTTCTTCACCCGTCTCTTAATTCCAGAGGTAGCAGAGTCGACTTCCATCAATGGGTACTCCATCTCTAAAGAAAAAGAAGAATCCGGGGGAGGGGGACTGCAGTATTGATGAATACGAGTAAAGTAAAAACTGGTAACTGACACATTCTAAAGCGAAATCACTATGACTTAATTTCACTTTTCTTTTTTTTAAGATTTATTTAGTTATTATGTATACATTGTTCTGTCTGCCATGTACACCTGCAGGCCAGAAGAGGGCACCAGATCTCATTATAGATGGTTGTGAGCCACCATGTGGTTGCTGGGAACTGAACTCAGGACCTCTGGAAGAGCAGTCAGTGCTCTTAATCACTGAGCCATCTCTCCAGCAACCACCATGACTTATAATACACTGTATACATAAGTATTTGCAAAGTCCTTTGCATAAAATATGAAAATAGGAAATATATATATATGAAAAAAAAAAAAAAATATATATATATATATATATATATATATATATATATATATATACACACACACTGTATATAGACTCGGGAGAATTACTGAATTCCAAAAAGGTAAATACTTTGTTGTTGTTCCATTCAGACCTATATTATATCTATATGCTTGGCAGACACAATGGACTAGGGGCAGATAGGTGACAGGATAGGGTCCCTGCTATCAAAAGTGAAATAATCCAGTGTGAGATAGACACTGTTCTGCTTCTATGCAAAAGTATAACCTTAGACAGATAAGTGGGGCTTAACAGAAGCACAAAAGAAATGACTAGTTCAAGGAGCAGAAAGGGGCTGGAAAGATAAGAAATTAGAAGCTTACGTATGTCTACTAGATTTATGGTCTACTAGGTTTACACTGTAATGGAAACTGGAAGATAAATAATTAGACAATATGACAAGAACAATGACTTTAACACATAAAATATTAGAGAACTGTTTAATGCTATCTGAGCAGAGAGAACAGATCAGAAAATGCTCCACGAGATGCAGGTGATGATGCTGCACTCTGGGCTCGAATGGGACCAATCTCCCAAACCTACATCCCTCCATATCTGCATATACCTAGAGAAACCTGTCAGTTGCACCGCCCCCCAACACTCAGCGGCTCCACTACTACTTGCTTTGAGTCCAAAGAACTGTCTCACTAGTCTCTTCATGTCCACAAGAATCCCTAGATTCCCATCATCCTTATCTTCCTCACTCTAATTCCCCTCAATTCTTCACATCCTGTAATTGGTCCTATAGTTGGCTAGAAAATTACCTAGTGAGGTGTGTGTAATTCTCAATCTATGAAGAGCCTACAGATTTAAGGATCCAATGATGAGATTCTCATTTATTAAGGTATCCCTAATACCATCACAAGCATCTTCAAGGGGAGGAGCAGAGAATAGCACAAGGCTGCTGCAAAGTCTTAGCTCAAATGTCACTCTCTTAATGAGCCTTCCAAGTTCAAACTAATTCACAGTCTTCTCCTACTAAAACATAAATTTTTAAGTGAGCCTTCCAAGTTCAAACTAATTCATTGTCTTTCTCCTACTGAAATGTAAATTCAGTGGGAGCCAGATTTCTTTCAAATTTGTTTTCTGCTGAACTCTTACTGCCTCTTAGCGCCTGGCACAAAGCATCACCTCTGATAGAAATGAATATGGACAAATGGAAGAACTTTTCAGTAGAAAAAAAAAATCTGCCCAATGTCATGATCAAAAGCAGTGAGCAGATGTTGGAAGCTGTCAAGCAAATAATTGAGAAGATGGAGGAATTTCTGCAACAGGGAAGAAGTTCACTAGGTACATTTCAACATTAAAGCTCAATTCTTCTAAAGTTTTGCCCAAAAGAAAATATAAAAACACAGGGAAGCAGGAGGGCTGACTGCAGATGTTCACCTCTCCTCCTGCTCCTCCAAATCCAACCCCCCCAGCCTCATCCCCAGCAGATCACCTGCTGCAGACTCCCTCATCTCCAGTGGCTCCCACATGTTTTCCATCTGACCTCCCTCCCTCCAACACACTGCATTATCCCATGCCCCAGCTCCAGCAGGCACTCTCTGGGAACCCACAAGCCAGTGACCAGAAAAGAAAGTCGGCCAACTGCACCCCTTCACCTTTCCCTCCATCCTCTCAGACCAATACCCCAGTCTCCTCCACAGCTCTGTAGCAGACCCTCTGCTGTGGCCTCTTCTTTCTCTGCCCACAAGTCCCAGGGGAATAAACAGATGCTGGTGAGACACTCTACTTTCCTCCCTCCTGTGGAGCCCCTATGCCACCCCACAGTGCATCTTCATTCCTAAGTGTTAGCTCCCAATACCCAGAAGCACATTTCACCTGAAAGCGCCAGTGACCACACCTAGCAGGACACCAGGAAACACACAGCCACCACACTCCTCAGAACCAGAGACTAAACAGAAACCAAGGAACAAAACAACAAAGACAAGACCAGTCATCTGCACCTAGAATCACAATCTTCTCAATCCCAGAGGGCTACACGCCAGTGTAAAAACACAATCAACAGCCAGGACGATAAGACTCCACCAGAATCTAGCAACCGTACCACAGACCATCCTGAGTATTCCAACATAGCCAAAGCCCAAGAAAAAGACCTTAAAACAGCCTTTAGGGATATAATAGAGGTTCTTAAAGAAAAAAAATGAATAAATGCTTTAAAGAAATCTATGAAAACACAAACAGTGGAAGGAAATAAATAAAATCATCCAAGACCTGAAAGTGGAAATAGAATTAACAAAGAAAACTCAAACTGAGGGAAATCTGGAAACTAAAATTTTAGGAACTTGAACAGGAACCACAGAAGTACACCTCACCCACAAATAGAATAAATAGATGGAAGACAGAGTCTCTGGCACTGAAGACACAACAGAAGAAATGTATACCTCAGTCAAAGAAAACGTGAACTCTTGAAAAAACTCCTGGTATAAAACATCCAGTAAATCTGGAACATTATGCAAAGACCAAATTTAAGAATAATAGGAATAGACGAAGGAGGAGAAGGAGGGAAACAACACAGGTCAAAGGCACTGAAAATGTTTTCATGAAAAGCATAGAAGAAAATCTAAAGTAGGAGATGCTTAGCATACAGAACACCAAATAGACTGGACCAAAAGAGAAATTCCCCTCAGCACATAATAATAAAAACACTAAAAATACACAGCAAAGAAAAAACATTAAAAGCTGCAAGGGAAAAAGACCAAGTAACATAGAGGGAGCCGTATTAGAATTACACCTGACTTCTCACTGAAAACTCTAAAAGCTGGAAGAGGCTGGACAGATGTGGTGCAGATTCTAAGAGACCACAAATACCAGCTGAGACTGCTATACCCATAAAAACTTTCAATCACCATAGATGGAGAAAATAAGGCATTCATGACAAAACCAAATTTAAGTAATATCCAGCCCTATCGAAAGTACTAGAAGAAAAATTCCAACCTACAGTGGGTAACTCTGTCCAAGAGAACACAGGCAATAAATGATCCCATACCAGAAAATATAAAACCAAAATGATTACTATTTTATAGACAATAGACTATAAAAACACATAGCAATAAGCTGTAACCTCTCACACACTTCAAAGGGAACCGAATATAAAAAATTAAGTCTGGAGCTGGAGAGATGGCTCAGAGGTTTTAAGAACACTGGCTGCTTTTCCAAAGGTCCTGAGTTCAATTACCAGAAAACACATGATGGCTCACGACCATCTATAATGAGATCTGGTGCCCTCTTCTGGCCTGCAGGCAGAGTACTGTATAAATAATAAATAAATCTTAAAAAAAAAAAAAATCTTTCAAACATTCCAGTCAAAAATAAATAAATTTCAGCTGATTTTTCTTTTCCAATAAGCTGATTCTGTCATAGTCCCTTATTTAATAAGTGACGTCCAAATGCTTGTGCTAGAAACTAGAATATTCCTTAAAGGCCCAGTCCACCTCCTATATTAATGACTTCACCAAGTAGCATTAACAGAAGCCAGGACCAGGTCGCTTGGAGTATGGTACCGGAGTGAGTTACTTGTAGAGACACCAAAACCTTACTGGGAATGTTTCGTAGCGTGTTGGTGTCCCGGCTCGAACATCTTATCTGTGTGATTTTTAACATCTCTAAGTCTCAATTTCCCAGTATGATAAGTTACAGAAATAAGGACTGAGTCCCTCATAGGTACTGAGCTGATGGATGTGCAGCGTCTAGAATGAGGTTGGGCTATCTCGTCCGCACTCTCGACCAGCCAGCCTCTGACCTATTAAAATCCCACGGAAAACTCTCCTAAATTAGATCCCTCGTCGAGAGATCGTTCCAGGTGCAAGCCAAGCTCTTAGTTCTCTGTTCTAAACAAGCTGGGCAGAGAGCCCCGAGCCCTGGAGACAGCATCCTGATGTATGTGCACGCAGCCTTCACAGACCCGATCTAGCTCGGTCACAGGGACCTGGGCACTCTTTCCCTCCGGGCACTGACCTGAAAGCGGCTGGCTCCACCCCTCCCTCTCCAGAGCCGACCAGAGGTCACCGCCCGGATCCGAAGCGGGCTCCGCGTCCAGGCCCCACCAGCCGCCGCGCTGACGGGAGGGCTGAGGCACCGGGAGGACCGGCCGAGAAGGGTCGCAGCCACGCCGACTTAGCGTCCCTTCTCAGCTGCGGGAACCGCCTACGATCCACCCAGCGCAGAACTCGGGTTTAAATTTCGCGGCGGTTAGCGGTTGACGAAGCAGCCAATCGAATGCCGAGATAGGCGGCGCAAAGGCGCGCTGTTACCCGGAAGTGGCAGGAGGAAGGGGCGGGACGCGCTGGGAGAGCAGGGTGGGCGTGGCTCGGCCGGCCCTGGGCGTGGCTCGGCCGGCCCTGGGCGCGCCGACCTGCCCGGAGAGGGTACCCGGACTGCTCGAGCCTGTGATGGCTCCTTTCCACGAGGTCGGACGGGGAAGGCGACGTGCCGCCGGTCGGTCCTACACCCTGAAAGTTGCCAGGAGCCTCAAGTCTTTTGCTGTGGTTTGTGTTGTGCGCCCTGAGATTACTTGCCTTCATCCAGTTTCTGCATCCTCTTCCAGCTGTGAGCCTTGCCCCTT